CCTAAAGTAGTTTTGGATGAATAATTATTGATGATATATGAATGATTATTTTTTTCTGTGCAGACAATGCACAGTCCGGTCCACTCTTATTGTTGACTCAGATACTGTATTCTTGATGGTTTAACTATGATTAGCTTTGAATGAAATGCCACACGGCTTGCAACATTTTCTAGATCTGGTTTCTCCACTCTTTCTCTTGCCCCATTATTTACAGCTCCGTTCTTTTCTCTATTACTATAAAAAAAATAGCAAAAAGCCAGACAAAAGAAGCATTTTTTTATTATCCAAACGTTTTCTTTGTTGTAAAAAAATAAAAAGCTGATTCTTCTCTCTCGAAATAGTCTTGGATTCTTTTGATAATCGTTTAGCTTTAGGACCTAAAGTAGTTTTGGATGAATAACAGCTTTATTTATTTTTTTCTGTGCAGACAATGCACAGTCCGGTCCACTCTTATTGTTGACTCAGATACTGTATTCTTGATGGTTTAACTATGATTAGCTTTGAATGAAATGCCACATCTGGCACATACCATGATGCATTGCTTCAGCTGTTTCAAGAAATGTATTAGCCAACTGACAACGCCATTCTTCTAAGTTTCTGTTGTCACTGCTGTCAGCCTTTCAAGTCAAAAAATCACAAAGCGTAAGTTTTGTTTTATATAATCAAGCACACTGAGAAGTCTTACACAATGGCGCTACACTATTTCAAGACAAATGGCTTTTGTTATCAAGTCTCTATGTCTAAAAGTTTTAAGACATCTTTTCAAACTCCTATTTAAGGAATAGTTCATCCAAAAGTTTTAATTCTGTCATCTTTTACTCATCCTCAAGTCGTTCCAAACTCATATGATTTTTTCTTCTGTGGAACACAAAATAAGAAAATATGAAGAACATACTGTAGATTATTTTTAATGCTATTACTGTGAATGCTGACTGGAGCTTTAAAGCTTCAGAAAAGGACACAAAACAACCACATTTAAGTAGTTAATATGAATGATGCTGTATTTTAGAAGTCTTACACAATGGCGCTACACTATTTCAAGACAAATGGCTTTTGTTATCAAGTCTCTATGTCTAAAAGTTTTAAGACATCTTTTCAAACTCCTATTTAAGGAATAGTTCATCCAAAAATTTTAATTCTGTCATCTTTTACTCATCCTCAAGTCGTTCCAAACTCATATGATTTTTTCTTCTGTGGAACACAAAATAAGAAAATATGAAGAACATACTGTACATTATTTTTAATGCTATTACTGTGAATGCTGACTGGAGCTTTAAAGCTTCAGAAAAGGACACAAAACAACCACATGTAAGTAGTTAATATGAATCATGCTGTATTTTAAGTCTGTATGTCTTTGCTCACTATCCCAGTGAATTGGAATTGGACATTAAGTTGAACTTGAGAAGTAATTCTGATTTGTGAATGAATTATTCAGTTTGTAAACCACATAAACGTATTTATTTATTGCAATTTATTATAAAATTGCAATTATTTTTAATGCTATTACTGTGAATGCTGACTGGAGCTTTAAAGCTTCAGAAAAGGACACAAAACAACCACATGTAAGTAGTTAATATGAATGATGCTGTATTTTAAGTCTGTATGTCTTTGCTCACTATCCCTGTGAATTGGAATTGGACATTAAGTTGAACTTGAGAAGTAATTCCGATTTGTGAATGAATTATTCAGTTTGTAAACCACATAAACGTATTTATTTATTGCAATTTATTATAAAATTGCATCCACTCACAGATCAAACATAGATACTTCAGTGAATTGTTCCTGTAGATTTCCAGTAGAGCATGGCACTAGCAACACTAAAGTTATGTGTTCGATTCCCAAGTCATATACTGTAGGCTACCTTAATAAAACTTTTATAATCAGAGCTTAACGCTAAGGATTTTTTCAGGCCAGTAGCAAATTTTTTTTTCAATTATTTATTTATTTATTTAATGTGGCCACCACAATAGAATAGAATAGAATAGAGTACAACACAATAAAATGAAATAAAATAATGTATTGCCCATGTATTGGCCCATGTAACGTTGTATTCGAATCAGTAAGTCACCAAAAGTTTAGATACCAGTGAAATTTCACAATTCTAAATTCCACTTTCACTAATACAGCAAATACTACTAGCGTAGCTAATATAAGCTATAAACATTACTGAAGACAAGTGAACAGTCAGCAACAAAATAAGAACAAATTAACAGATTACAAGCAATGGCACAAATAAGTACAATAGAACAATGATAGAAATGTAATAAAAAGAGCTTTTTCAGAAAGGTCTAACAGAAGTATTCAGGTACAGAAATTGAATAATCAAATGTAAAATAACACTGCATTGTGTTGTTTTACATACAGTACATGCCCGGTCCATAAGGCAATTCTTATTGTCGAGCCCTGATAATGCTTTTGTGGCTATTTCTTGTTTATTGTAATTGCATGAAAAAAAATCTCCTTTTGTGATTCAAGTAAGAAAGTCATACGGATTTGGAACAAAATGAAATTGAGTAAATGGCAGAATTTGCTTTTTTGGGAGAACTGTCACTTTAAGAGAGCCTTCTATGTTGTGGAAGGTATAACATTCTCTTCTCTAGTGTTCTGTGTAGTTCATGTGCTCTCTTGCTTCAGTCTTCCACACACCCCAGTCCATGTTTCACTAATTACTCATTGTTAAGGTCATCCGTAATTGCTGTGGCCATTATCCGTTTGGATTGTTATCTCCTCATTAAGCTATAGGATGAATGTTATTCCTCACTTTTATTCTTCATTATATAGGGTTTAATCAGCAGTATTTTCATGGTAAATCAGAAGAAACTCATTAGCTTTATACCATTGAGGACTCTGTGTGAGCCCATACGTCTTTTATAGGGTTTCTCTTTCTTTTTCTTCCATGTATTTTTCGCTCATTATGTTTTTGTCATGCACCAGCAGTTGACCCCCTTAATGTAATTTAATTAAAATGACCTTTCCCTCACAAAGTGTCTTCAGTCAACTGTATTCTGCTCACAGAAGACGTGCTGCCAATTCATTTGGCTCTTATTAAAATCCACTTTATGTTTTTTCAAATTAATAGCCCCCATATGGAAAGTATAGTAAGTGTAGTACCTAGAAATTAAGATTATTTATTACAGCAATAAACCACCGTAGAATGTGGTAAAATCGCTAACCCACAGCCTACTGCTCATCAGGACAACAGAAATGTAAGTAATATATTGCTACAATTATTTTAAAAAGAAGTTTGGTTTTAACACAAAAACGTATTTTAATTCATTTCTAAAACATTTCTGAAAAGCATTGGTGCCAGCATTTTAACATTTCTAAATAGTCAATTTATTAAGACTTTTTTCAGTTTTTCTTTTTTCCTGTAAATGAAATTTTTCAAGCTGGATTTTCTGTTTTTGTTTGTTTGTTTTGTTGTTGTTGTTTTTATTGATGTTGTTGATTTACAACTTTTAGATTTATGGTTTTCCCCTCACAGTTTCTTGTCCAAATGTGGCTCATCTTTGTATTATACAATTTTTTTTTGTTCATTATTTGTGTAGAATCTTGGGTTAAAAGGGTGGATTTTAATTTTGAACTATAGTTTATTGTTAAATTTCATTATTTTGTTAAGTATGTAAGGAATAATTGACTCCGGGCCGTTGAATTATTAGAAAAATAATGCA